GGAAGCGGGGCGGCCGGAAGCAGGGGGCGGGGCTTTGTCATGTGCCTCCCCCCCCGTACCTCACCTGGGGGAACTGCGCGATCCCCCGCACCCCCCCCCGAAATGACCTCTGATACATACAAATATAATTAGCAGCAGAACCCAGCTTCCGTCAGCAGCCTCAGCCGCACATCGTAGCAGGGGGGACAGTGCTCACTCTTAAGCTGTAGAGTCTTGTGAGCAGAAATTGTACTTTGTGAGCTACTGGCATTAAAGTTGTGAGCGAGTGATTTGGCTACTGCATAAATTAGTTTGCTCTGGAGCCATGCTTCCTGAGCTAAGACAAAAACGTGTGAGCCGGAGGCTAAAAAACTGTGAGCTAGCTCACACTAACTCTGCTTAGAGGGAACACTGGACATGAACCCTAACAGCTCTTTTTCTTTTCCCTGCCTGTCCTCTAGCCCCCCCCCTCCTTTTCTCCTTCCTCTCACTTGCTCACTCACTACTATTCTGGCTATTTAAAAAGTAATGATAGTTAATCTAACAAGTACTCAAGAAGGTGTACCCAGTTTTTCCCAACAACCAAGGACAGCCTGCTTTATGGCATCAGAATTCATGAGGCGTCTGCCTTGGAAAAGCCTCAGGAGAGATGACCCAATTGCCCACACTCACACTCACCCCAAAACACTGGGACAACAGGACAAAGCAGGTGGGTCCAAACTGCAACCCTTCCCTCCCATAGAGGAAAGGGGTCACCGTCAGGAAACTCCTTGAGTAGGGAACACTCAGGTCACGTGTATTTTTACTCAGACACTTGAACTTGTGTGTTTAAAAAGTACAATAATATTAAAACACAAGGGCACAGAACATGTTTATAAGAAGTCAAGACATTTTTAAGAGCTTGTTGAATTTTTTAAAAGTGTAAAAAAAACTATTTACAACTGAGCAATGGGAAAGGCAAAAGAAAACTCCCTGGATATATTTAGTTTGTTTTTAGAATCAGGATTTCATATTTTATTTTTTTATTTCATTCTGTTTTGTTTGTGACAATGGCAGAACTCTTTTGTAGCTTGGGGATGGTGGGGGGGGGGGCTGAAAGAGATGTATGGGAAGAAGGGGACAAGGGAGA